ATATCATCACGATAAACCCTTGCTTTCCCACGACCAACTTCACACTCCTCTCCTTCATTTAGACAAAAAGAACATCCTTGTTTACCTCGAAATGTTTTTATTTTTTGGAGCATTGGTCTTGCTTGAGAATCAACTGAGGCTACGAGAGTGTGAATTTTTATTTTAGCTTTGTTTTCAGAGCCTGGAATGACATACTCCAATCCTTCATTATGTAGCATACTTAGTTCTTCAACAAATGGTTTCAAGAATATATTCATTTCAGGTTTAGATCCGTACCATAATCCGCAGAGTAAAATATTTTCTTTACGAGTTTGAAAAGGTAAATTATTTATAGCTACCTGAATAGGCCACAAACTTACTTTAGATGACTTAAAAATTTGTACTCCATCAGTGTTCCACTGTAATGTGAGATCTTTCATTGAAATAATACTATCTTGTATTAATCTTTTATATACTTCGCCACTGTGAACATCGCTTTGGCCACTTATAAGTCCCTCTTGAAGCATAGAATGTATATGGTCATCTTGAAGTAGCCGAATCAACTGATCTTGTAATGGAATTTGAATAAAAAAACATTGTTGCCGTTTTAAATCATCCATTATACAGTTCAATCCACAACTGCAAATAATGATTTCACTTTCGTCTGAGAAATTAACTATACTCTTGCAACCAGAGCAAAAGAAATGTGTTATTATATTAGGTGGCTTAGGAAATTTTTGAATGAATAAATATAATGACTTATGTTCTTGTCTTGGAAGGTGACAATCTATCAGATCTATGAGAGATTGAAGAGCAATATCAGAGAGTCCAAAACGCATAGCATAAGTCATAATTAATAACTCTCTTCTTTTGTAATGCCACAACCCTCATATAAGGGTTTCCTATCTAAGTTAATACGTTCGAGATTTTCTGCTTGAAATATGCTTTTATCATTCACAAAATCTTCGTACACACTGCCATCATCATCAGAGGTGCTACTACCTTCTATAAAATCAACGACACTGTAGTCACTATTATTGTATAGGCTTGCACATTCATTACTTTGAATATTTCCTTCATTACTGTCTTCATTATTATATAGGCTTGCACATTCATTACTTTGAATATTTCCTTCATTATTGTCTTCATTACTGTAATGATCGCGTTTTTGCATTGTAAAATGCAATCTTTCTTCACTTTGCTCAAAGGTGATGAATTCCTCATCGCTATTTGAAGAGCATTCCGAATTCTCTCTGCTGTCAAAATATGTAGCAGTTGTAGAATTCCAGTCCATGACTTCATTAATGTTATCATTATTCGATAATGCATGCTAAAAGAAAGTTTTTTCATCAATTTCTATAAACAATAATATATATAACATAATCATACAAAATTTTATTACATTTATTAATTTTATTTTAAATAACGTATTATAATATATCATTAATATTGCATTCCCAAAAAATTATAAATTTCTGCGATGTAATTAAATGATAATTAATTGAATAAATAAAATAAAATTTTTTTAGCTGTAAGAAAAATACAATTTCCTTAATTTTATATAATATATAAAAAGAAACATTAAAAAAAAATCAATATTAAAAAATCAGGTAAAAATGTAGATTAGGGGAGCCTCCCCCAATGACCTTGATCTTGACATATGTTGTCAAGGTCATGACCCTGAGTGACCTTGAGTGTGTGTGTGTGTGTGTGTGTGTTCGTAAGTGAGATTAATAAATTCATGCAAATGCATTTTTAACGTTTGTAAAGCGTCTTACTTGCGTCGAGGTAATCTGACTGACTAATTGAAACATATCGATCGAAACTATTCACAACGACTGAAAAACTCAAAACAAAGATATATCAATATAAAATTTTTGGAAGTTTATCCAAAAGTAGTCACAGTACACACTGTGACTACTTTTGGATAAACTTCCAAAAATTTTATATTGATATATCTTTGTTTTGAGTTTTTCAGTCGTTGTGAATAGTTTCGATCGATATGTTTCAATTAGTCAGTCAGATTACCTCGACGCAAGTAAGACGCTTTACAAACGTTAAAAATGCATTTGCATGAATTTATTAATCTCACTTACGAACACACACACACACACACACGGGCGGGTGCAAGGGGACGGCCTTCGGCCACCCCGCCGCACCCACACCGTC